AGGGAGTGACAAGCATGACATAGCCCCCCTAGCCTAAGCTTTGTACTGCTTGCACATCCTGAATTTGCGCAATAACAGAAAGCCAGAACAGAGACAAAAAGTTAAGATCTGATACTTGCTCTTGGAGAGAAGGCTACCTTAGACGAACGCTCGTGCAAAAGGTTATTTCGAAAGAACTGCAGAATCTCGACAAGCAGAGACAAGGACAGACAAGGATGAGCCCTCTTGGCGTATCTAGCAAACTTAACTTCGTGCGGAAGGGCCAAGTAAAAATTTGAACGTGACGGGCTTGGAGCCCACCGGCGACGAATGAATGGCCTCGAGGGCCTTTGACATGAGGGCGCACACTCAACACTCGCATGCCTGGCCACAAAATCCTGGTATGAACACAGGAAGCGTTGAGCGTGACATGGCAGTTCATTGGGCTGAAACTGAGAAGTGCTCCTCCTGGTTATCTCAGTTGGAGCACCACACTCTTTATATTTACCAATGCAAGCTGTGGGTTCATGATGGTTACATCATGACACGGACTGATACATGCGTCCACAGCAGCGCATGAAGGACTTTGAGCCCACTGGTGGCGAATGAGTGCGCAAGGGCCTTGACGTGCCTTGGCGTGAGACATGTTGAGCCCACTTGTGGCAGATGAATGGCCTCAAGGGCCTTCACATCAGGGATCTTGACGCGAAGGGCTTGGAGCCCACCGGCGGCGAATGAATGGCCTCAAGGGCCTTTGACATGAGGGATCTTGACGTGAAGGGCTTTGAGCTGACGTGAAGGGCTTTGACGTGATTAGCCCACTGGTAGCGGGTGAATGGCCTTCAGGGCCTTCACTCCAGGGATCTTGGCGTGAAGGACTTGGAGCCCTCAGGCGGCGAGTGAATGGCCTCAAGGGCATTGGCATGAGGGTTCTTGACGTGAAGGGCTTTAAGCCCACTGGTGGCGAATGAATGGCCTCAAGGGCCTTGACATGAGCAATTTAGACGTGAAGGGCTTTGAGCCTACTGGTGGCGAATGAAGGCCTCAAGGGCCTTGGCATGAAGGTTCTTGACGCGAAGGGCTTCAAGCCCACTGGCGAATGGGCCTCATGGCCTCAAGGGTTTTGACATGAGGGATTTAGACGTGAAGGGCTTTGAGCCCGCTGGTGGCGAATGAATGGCCTCAAGGGTCTTAGCGTGAGGGTACTTGACGTGAAGGACTTTGAGCCCACTGGTGGCGAATGAATGGCCTCAAGGGCCTTGGCACTGAAAGGCTTTAAGCCCACTGGCGAATGGCCTCAAGGGCCTTGACGTGAAGGGCTTTGAGCCCACTGGCGAAGAAAGGCCGCATCGAATGAATGGCCTCACGGGCCTTGACACAAGAGACCTTGACGTTATAGGGGCTGTGACCCACTCTGGTGGCGGATGAATGGCCTTAAGGGCCTTGACATCAGAGATCTTGACGTGAAGGGCTTGGAGCCTCACTGCGAATGAATGGCCCCAAGGGGCCTTGGCATAGAGGAGCTTGACGCGCAGGGCTTAAGCCCACTGCTTTGCTCAACAGTCGCATGCCAAGATTTTGTTGAGACATCTTATCATGGCATGAAGGTTGTGCGA